CTTATTTCAAATTTCTGACATTTTGGACGACTTTGACGTTTTGCTTTTCGACGATGACGTAATTTTAAATAGAAAATTTATTTTTTACAATAGTTTTCCATTTTACTGTGGGTTACATCAAAAAATAAGTATCAGCAGAAAATCACAAACAAAAATAAACACTTTTTGAGGCTGAAATTTATAAACATAGCGATCATCTGTCAAAATTATGAATACAAAATAAGGTAATACTCTAGCACCTACTACAGTCTTCCAATAACTGTTTTTTTCTTGGAAAAATAGTGCTGATGCACTAATAAAATAACGTAGATCCTTAATACTGCGAGACAGTATTTATTAGTTCCAATAACTCTCTATTTATTAGCCCAAAAATCTGAATTGACTTACCTCAGAAACACGTAGAACCACAAATCACACACACAATGGAGGCCCACAATTAGATAAAAAATTAAAATATAATATTTATATTTCAAAAGTAGATAAGATAAGATTTATCAGGTAAACACTCAACAGTGACATGGTAGTATATACTGATGGTAAAATAAATTGAAAAATTATAAGGGAGAATTCAGAAATCTGAAGGAAAAAATTACAAAAACCAAACTTGACTTGCCTGCTAGACCACTGCCAGAAGAAGAGAGCGTGTTAGAAACCAAACCCTACAGAAAACCAATCTTGTGTTTTTTTATACTCAACTGCGTATTAACCAAATTAACCAATCAGAAGACTACACTCAATAGACACAAAAGACCGTGCTCACTTAATAAATGAAATACCACGTGTATTAAAAGAAAATAGATAAAAACGCACTAGAATTATTTTAATTGTTTACAAGTTACAATAATTTAAGGTAAGGTTATGTTGAAAACAAAAGACCACTAATTAATTAGGTCATTAGGCCAAAATAATCATTTCAGAATCAGAACTTGGAAAAAGACAGGAATATATTTATTTGCTAGAAGTGACATAAATATAATGAAAATACGAATGATGTCAATGAGAAATAATAAAAATCATATTTTAAAAAATAAATCTATCCGGTACTATATAGATCGCGGTACCTTTCTCAATAATAGATATTTTGCATTTTATGCTGATGATGGATAGATGGCAGTACTGATATTATATTTGTGGGGTCCGGGGGGTTATCTCATGGTTTTACCAAGGATAATACGTAGGGTCGTTGATAACTTTGATTAATCCCGTCCTTCACAATAAATACAATAAATTCTTGAAATCGTGTTCTTTATTAAATTGAGTGTTACAATGGTTCTCTAGTCAACTGGCAACTGCTGACTGAACTTGAAATCAATCTCTCTTCCTCTCTTCTTTTTTATGTGACATTTACTGAACGAAGCTACAAAGAGAGAAAGAGATAGTGTAGGATGTGTAAAGGATAGGATATCCCCACATATTGAACTTTGTAGATACTTTTAGATCACTCAAATTATGAATTATTATTTTGCTGATTCTAGAATGGCAAAATTAAAACTTTATAATGAAAATAAGAAGAGATAGAACACGTTACGTGAATGATAAATTTATCGTAACAGTATGAAACATCTTCGGTAAATTAAATTTGAATATTGATTTAAAAAAAAATTTATTGGTAAATGACCATTTACAAATTCCTTTTCAATACAGGGAAAATTTCAATCAATACGTACAAGGTTACGCTATAACGCAAATGACAGGTGCCAACTGTCGTAATGACAGCATTTGCATTTTTTCAAATGGAACACCCTGTATATTTTTAGCTAGGATGATAGATTTTTTCCTTCTGATTTCAAATATACCATTTATGTTGATATTTGATTTAGCTGTTTCTACATTTCTGCATTTACAGCTGAACCAAATATCAACATATATGGTATATTTGAAATCAGAAGAAAAAAATCTATTATTCTAGCTAAAAATATACAGGGTGTTCTATTTAAAAAAACGCAAGTGCTGTCATTATGACAGTTGACACCTGTCATATGCCCATTTTGACATGTACGAAAGATAATAGAGATAAAACCCTACAACTTTTGTATTTAACTTTTTTTTTTGTATTTTCTTTTGTTTAAGTTGTAGGAGCCGCACTAATTATAAGGAAGAGACCCTGTACATGACGAATTTATTGAAATAGAACCCAACATTAGTGACACTTGTTGACAACACTTATACTGTAGATATTCTTAATCACTCAGACAGATCATTTATCTTAGATTCTAATATTGAAGAAAATTCACCATTCGAACCGATCGAACTCAATAATTTTAAGATATTAACTTTTGAAAAACGAACAACTACGCCACATGCAAAACCTTTACAAAAGAAAGACCCTAAAAAAGTCGATTTAAAATCTCTAATAATAAGTACATGAACACTTAAATTCTGAAGAACGCCTTCAACTCTTTAAACTTATCCAAAAATTTACCAAAATTTTGCATAGACCTGGAGATACCTTAACATTTTCAAATCAAGTTAAGCATGTTATTAATACAACGGCTATAGATACCCTCATGTTCATAAAGAGGAAATGAAAAATCAAATAGGAAAAATGTTACAAAACAAAATTATTCAACCTTCGAGTTCACCTTGGAGCTCACCTGTTTGAATTGTTCCAAAAAAAACAGACGCATCAGGAAAGAAAAAATTAAGACTCGTTATAGATTATCGCAAAATAAACGAGAAAACCATAGATGACAGGTATCCATTACCTAATATAGCGGATGTATTAGATAAGCTTAGAAGATCGCAATATTTTACAACATTAGATTGAGCGAGAGGATTCCACCAAATTGAAATGGATCCTGAAAGCGTACCTAAAACAGCGTTTAATGTTGAGCATGGACACTACGAATTCTTAAGAATACCCTTTGGATTAAAAAATGCTCCTGCCACATTTCAAAGAGCTATAAAATATGTTTAGTCTACATGAAAGACATCGCTCAACATCGCTTCAACAACACCTTGATTCTTTACGACAAGTATTTGAACAACTTATTCAATTCAATTCGAAAATTCAACTAGATAAGTGTGAATTTCTCCACAAAACAGTTGAATTCCTTGGACATACAATAACTTCAGATGGTATAAAACCAAATAAAAAGAAAGTAAAAGCAATAAAGAAATTTAAAATTCCAAAAACACCAAAAGAAATAAAATCTTTTCTCGGACTTGTAGGATATCACAGGAAATTCAGTGAAAACTTTGCTAAAATCACCAAACCTTTAACTTAATATTTAAAGAAAAATAATTTATGACAAACAATATATGGATGCATTTGATCTTTAAGAATATTTTAATGAATAACCCAATATTAAAATATCATGACTTTTCAAAATAATTTGTCCTTACAACAGATGCTTCAAACTAAGCAATAGGCGCAGTTCCTTCTCAAGGTCCTATTGGAACTGATCTCTCTATAGCTTATGCAAGTAGAATGTAAGTATTCTACAATAAAAAAAGAACTTCTTGCAATTGTATGGGCGACAAAGTACTTTCGACCCTACGTATTTAGTCAAAAATTCACTATCGTGACTGATCAAACCCCTTTAATGGCTCTTTTCAGTAAAAGACCCAGGTTCAAAGTTAGTCCGATGGAGACTAAAACTCCAAGAATATGATTATACCATTCAATACAAAAAGAGAACAAAAAATTCAAATGCTCTTTCGCGTCCACACTTCCTGTTAGTATAATTAAACCACCATCGTCACATAATATGTCAGCTATATGTGAAACTCAGAGTGAAATCAGAGAAGAAGAAGACCTATATTCATGGAGAGATAAAGTTAAGCATTTCTTTGATACACAAGAAGACTGGTTCGATGCACCAAAAAAAAAAATTATTCCAAAGAAAGTTGAAAAAACTAAGAAAAGCTCAAATATTAAAATAATATCAGACATTCAAATCAAACCTGATGGTAAGAAGGTAATTCTTGTAAATAAAAACGAATCGCCTAAACCAAGACCATCTAAAGAAAATAAGAATGAATCCTCAAAGCCAGAACCATCCAATGCACACAAAGGGTCGCCTAATCGAAATAAAAAATTATTAGAAAAAACTGGATCTGAAACAGAAACAGTGCATTCAGCTGTTGAAAATCCTATCTTAGGAGCACCATATGTGGAAAAAAGTGTGAATACTCACAAAAATCAACGTTTTTAAATGGACTATTAAGAAAAGGCCGCATCTGACATCAAAAAAATTGTTTGAAACAAAGAAAATAAAATCCAATTACAAGAGAAATCCAAGAACTATTCATAGACTATTTAGCACCAGACACCTATTGTCTACATTTTCCTTGTAAATAATTAGAACCTCTTGTTTTAAGGATATTTCAAGAAACTTCCAGGAATAACACATTTGAACTTGTGATTTCTAACACCCTTCTTCAAGATGTAACAGATCAAGAAGAACAAAAAGAGATAATTGAAAGATATCACACAACAAAAACATCACATTGAGGTATAGTGGATAACATCAAAAATATTATTGGCCAAGCCTTGAACGCAATGTAATTAATTTCATTAATAATTGCGAAACAGAAACGAAATATGATCAACATCCTTACAAGGTCATATATAAGCCTACCCCAACAGGTTCAACACCTTTTGAGCATATTTATCGACCAAGCGCTAAGTGGTATCACCACGTTCCGCTACTGCGCTGGCAGTCCGCTTCCAACAATGAGTAACAGATAGCATGATGGCGCCTCCAGGATCAAAATATTCCGGAGGTAAAATACCCGACCACTCGGATCTCCGGGCGTCGGGTGAACCTGGGGGTCCTTCATGCAAAGATATAAAGAGAAGATCAAAAACTCAACTCAGAATTGATTTTAGCAATATAAGAGGAATAAGTACAAATATGAATTCAGTTCACCAACATCTTGAAGAACAAAGACCTGACATCCTTGTTCTCACTGAAACTAAAATCAGTTCTGCCGTCGTGAGACAGGTTAGTTTTACCCTACTGATAACTGGTCGTTGCGATAGTAATCCTGCTCAGTACGAGAGGAACCGCAGGTTCGGACATTTGGTTCACGCACTAGCTCGAGCGGGCTATGGTGCGAAGCTACCATCCGTTGGTTTATGCCTGAACGCCTCTAAGGCCGTATCCTTTCTAGTCAAAGGTGGCAACGATAACTCTTGGAGTTCCGAGAGTCGAAAGGCTCAAAACAATGTGACTTTACTAGGCGGTCGGCGTTCGCGCCGATCGTCGCACGAGCCCTAATTGCCGCGTGGGGTCACCGGTCGGCGGCGGGATCGATCCTTGCCACGTCCGACCAGACCTCTTGGCGGTCGATCATGGGTATCACAATAATTTCGATGTTGGAACTCGGAATTGTCTGTAGACGACTTACGTACCTGGCAGGGTGTTGTACTCGGTAGAGCAGTTTCCACGCTGCGATCTGTTGAGACTCAGCCCTTAGCTTGGGGATTCGTCTTGTCGGTGAGACGAGACCCCTGCGGCGTGCGGAACACGCACGCGCGCAAAAGGCGAACGTTTGGGATCTGTGTGTACATTAAAAATGACCTTTCATGTCATCGAGAGGAGAAGCTAGAACCAGCGAACCTTGATATCATATGGCTAAAATTCACCTCAAAGTCATCGACCAAGTTTATCTGCTGCCTCTACCGACCGCCTTCTAACACCGACTACCAAAACTTTTTCGCGACATTATCCGATAGCTGTGATAGTATACAGTCAAACTATCCACAGGCGGAAATTGTCTTTTTAGGCGATTTCAACGTCCACAATATACCCTGGCTGAAACACCACAACAAAACAGATAACGAAGGCAGAGAAGCAGAAGCTTTTGCCATAAGTTGTGGTCTAACGCAGCTTGTCGATGAACCGACCCGTATCTCAGAAAGGGGCGAATTTGCAGCGCTTTTAGACTTGTTCCTAACCACAAATCCTGACTCGTACACAATTCAAGTAGATGCTCCACTTGGTTCGTCCGATCATAAACTTATAATAACAAAGTGCGAAATGCTCATCCCACCAAGCCAACAACCACTTCCTCGTGAAATGTGGCACTATAAATCGGCAAAATGGAATGACCTAAAACAGTTTTACCTGGATTTTCCATGGCAAGAGGTTTGCTTTAAAACAGCTGATCCCACTATTTGCTGTAATGAAATAACACAAGTAATCTTATTTGGAATGGATGCATATATCCCACATACAACTAAACGTAGAGCTAATGCAAAACCTTGGTTCAACCGCCAGTGTCAAACGGCTGTACAGAAAAAACACAGAGCATATAACCTTTGGAAACGACAACAAACCGCTCAAAACCACACAGAATTTATAGAAGCCAGAAATAGTTGCAAAATTACTATTGACTCCGCTAAAGAAACATACAATCAAAAAATAAAAAACAGGTTGCTGAATTGTCCAAGTAGTTCTAGGTCCTTTTGGTCTCTTGCAAAAGCTGTTGGATCTAACTTCACCAAGTCATCCATACCACCACTTGCAGATAAAAATAATCACTTAGCCACAACATCAGAGAAAAAAGCCAATATGCTGGCCCAAATGTTTTCCTCCAACTCCAACCTAACAGTGCCAAACGGAAAAACTCCATCGTTCATTGAAAGGGTTTCCCATAGTATGCCAGAGGTACCCTTTTGTCACAGAGAAATACGAAAATCCCTTAAAAAGCTGGATACAAACAAAGCAATGGGTCCGGATGGCATTGCCGCAATAGTACTCAAAAATTGCGCCAACGAACTCACCCCAACTTTCGCAAAATTATTCAATTTGTCTTACAGGCAAGGAGTTTATCCATCATTATGGAAGTCTGCCGCAGTACAACCCATTCCAAAGAAAGGAAAAAAGACAGATCCGTTAAACTATAGACCAATTGCTCTACTTCCGGTGATATCAAAAGTAATGGAAAGAGTTGTGAACAATCACCTAACCAAGTACTTGGAAAAGTACAAAATTATCAACGATAAGCAATACGGATTTCGAAAATATAGGTCAACTGGCGATTTACTTACATACGTCACTCACTTATGGCAAAAAGCGATTGAGTTGCGGGGTGAAACAAGAACAATTGCCTTAGATATATCTAAAGCATTCGACAAAGTTTGGCATGAAAATCTGCTCAATAAGCTCAAAGCAATGGGATTATCGCCGAAACTTTGCACTTGGTTTGAAAGTTACCTAAAGGACAGATCCATTTATGTTGCACTGGATGGCCAGAACTCCAACTCTTACCAAATAAATGCTGGTGTGCCACAAGGAGCAATCCTTTCGCCAACTCTTTTTCTGATTTACATAAATGACCTCATAGATAAAACAGTAAATCCACTTTATTGCTTTGCAGACGATGGCAATGTAGTCTCCTCACTCATACCACCCACAGGTCTTTCCGCACGTGAATTCCATCATCTTAGACTAACTCAAATATCGCAGATAAATAACGACCTGGAGATAATAGAGGACTGGGGTAACAAAAACCTTGTACAGTTCAACGCGCAGAAAACCCAAGCAGCTCTGTTTTCAAAAAAGACCAGCACCGGTGAGCCAAACATCATGCTATCTGGAAGTGCTGTCACATTACAGAGTCTGTTGAACATCTTGGGGGTTACTGCAGAGACCAACATGTCTTGGCACAGTCACGTGGCAGATATTGCTAAAAGGGCGTCCCAAAAGCTGGGGGTGCTATTTCGTACAAGACATCTGTACACACCAAGCCAATTGCTGACACTCTACAAAGCCCAAATTCGACCAACTATGGAGTACTGCTCACATATATGGAGTGCAGCACCCAAACATACCTTAATGCTTTTGAACACCGTGCAAAAATGAGCTATCAAGCTGATCAATGACCCCGCACTTACTCGTAACTTGGATGGTCTTGAACATCGCAGATCTGTGGGCGATTTATCTCTCTTCTACAGGTACTATCACGGAAAATGCTCTGAAGAGTTGGCACGTATGATTCCACCGAGAGTAGCGCCTACCAGGCGAACCCGTCAAACAGACGGTAACCATGAATTTACTGTCAAACTAGAGGCACCAAGAACCTCATTATATCAGAATTCATATCTCTGGAGAACAGCATCGCTGTGGAATAAACTCCCTGCGACGGTTTTTCCTGCAGGTTACAACCTGAACCGTTTCAAGACCAACATACACCGACATTTCCGCGCACTTGCCGCTTCTCGAGCGGTTGATAGGACATTTCCTTGCGAGTGCGCATATCCGTAAAAAAAAAAAAAAATACGTACTCAGTCTCAGTATCTGATCAAAAATATTTAACAATAATAGATAATTTATCAAAATTTGCAACTGCATATCCTATTAACAAAAACGCAATTGAGATTTGTCAAAATTTGATTAAATTCTTCTCACACCATGGAAAACCTAGTAAAATTACTACGGATAATGGTCCAACATGTAAAAATAATTTAATCCAAGATCATTGTGAGATTCAGTTACATCTTGTTACATTTGATAATCCTAATTCGAATTCACCAATTGAAAGGTTCCATTCAACATTAAAGGAAAGCCTTGTAGCTCTTAGGAATAAACATCGTTCCAAAACTATCTAAGAATTGATCGATACTGCTATATTAAATTATAATAATAGCATACATTCTTCTCATGATTATACTCAATTTCAAATACTGAAAGATAATCTCAATTTGTAATAACAATTAGTCATAGGCTAGCTCAGCATTTAATCTTTTATATAAATACGAGCAAGGCAATAATAAGTTTGGTTCTTTAGTTCGCTTCACTGGGTTCACACGTTATTAATTAAATAATAAAGTTTTTTTTTTAAACACAAGTTATTTAATTTAAATCATAACTCTTGAGCAACATCTATCTACGATAAAGAAGAGTAAGGTGAAACAAATTGTAGGTATTTCCAGGGAAGTTATTACGGTAATTATGAGGTAGGTAGTTGGGCAATTTAACTTTTTAATGCAATCCTGCTTCGGCTTCGATAATCTCACTATGAAGCAGATAAAATCGATTCTGCTACGTCGTGAAAAAGGCATTTCGCCTAAATCATTCGACGCTCAAAAAATATGCGATAACATTTACTTTTATTTAGCAAAGCTTCGAAAACTCCAAAACCATGAGGCGGAAAATAATCTCCCGCCTGCTCGCTTGTGAGCACCTAAAAGCGCCGTTTTTCTCTTTTTCATTTTCGTCCAGAGGCATAGATTTTCGCTTCTGGACAATACCAGTGGTTCACGAAACTTATATTAATATGTTAGCAGGAACTTTTTTCATTAGCCACACTGAGTTTTGGTTTTAATGCATTTGAAACTCTAATTAGTATGTCGATATTAGAAAAGACTGAAATTCACCATTTAAATAAAGTTACCAATAATACTTTCTAGATTTGATTTAGATGAGGCAATATAAGAAATTGCAAAGGAAAATTTTATATAACATAGAGCATCATTCAATTTTGAAAGCCCTTTTAGCGAGGAAAGAAATCGAATTTTAATTTGCACCTGAACCCTACACCGAATGGCCTTTTAAAATAAGTTTTAAAAAAGTTGCCTTTTCTGATAGCGTAAGAGCTTCGAAACCATCGACTGCTGGCTTTTGTGTGAAGTGGTTCGAGTGAAGAGTATTGATGGTTTAATGATTCATGCAGTCGGAATTTTATTGGGAAGATTTTTCTTGCATTTTGAGATCAGATAAAATGTCGATTAAAGCAGAACAATCTCAGAAATTATTGAAAGATAGAACTGCACTGCAGTGCACAATCAATCTTAGAAAAACAATGAAAAGTTATATTATGGAAGGTAAGTTGAATAATTTTATACGAATTGAATATTGGATTGTAAGAAAGGAATTTAAAATAAGCTCCATTTCTAATCGTGCGCACGAGCAAATAAGGGCCAAGTAGGAGTAATTTTATTATTTAATATCACAAAGATGTCCCGGAGATTTTACATGAAAAAAAAAAAAAAAATGGAAAACTCTTTTCCCGAATCACTAAATATATTCTTTTGTCTAAATTGAGCTGAATTGATGACAGATGGAGTCTTATTTTACTTTTTCCCTGTCCATGAATCATTGAGCCATCAGGATAAAATAAAGACCGTGACAAGGTAGTTAGTTCATATTTTCCTATAATCTCTTTCAAGTTTGGACCAGCACGACTTCTCCATATAAGAACGCATCGTGAGAACATACTTAAATCTTGTTTAAGCTATACTATCCCTGACTTGGTTTTAACAACAATCTTTCCA